TAGATCTCCCTGTTTCCCCGATGTAGACTTTGCCGCACTCACAGGGAATCCTGTAGACAACACCATCTTGTTTAGCCGGGTTGACGGTGTCCTTTGGTATAAATTCTCTGAATTTCAGGCATTGCCCTCCAGAGCCGCAATTTGGGCCTGATCAAAGGAGGGGACTGAAATCAGCCCTTCTTTAACCTTAGCACGCACAGCGGTCAAATACAAGCCTGAACCCCAGAGAATTTCGCAAAGGTTTGAAGCGTAATATCAAGACTAACTTTGTAACAAAGACTGTTACATGCGAGGAGGCTTCCCAATCTCGAGAGACATCTGAGGTGACTCACGCCTTCATTAATGTGAACGTCTCTCAATGACTGAGCTGAAATAATTACTGACTTGGGCGCGACATTGCAATACTCCAGAGACGATACAGTAGTATGGTAGGGATGTTTTCGTCCGTTTTTTCATGAGAGGAAATCCCATTAAGTTAGAAGTTTGCAGTGATGACCCTGTCAAACCGGTTCATAACCTGTTGGTAAGCCTTGAATAGAACACGATATTAGCCTATCTGTAATCCTCACAAAGCAATGAGAATCCTCCATAATTTGTCCATGAGTCAAAGGCAATATGACGTCATCGACGTTAATGTATTCAAACGCGATTAGATGCAATTCCCCTGCAAAAATATCAGACGAAACTATCTCTACAATACTAGTCGAAACTCTGCATGGATTTCTGTTGTGCTAGTCTCCTTCGCAGCCGTTATTAGGGCCGTAACGCAACGCTTCTCTTAGTGGGAGAAGCGTTGCGTGACGACCCTAATAACGGCTTCGACGAACATGCACTACTGTTATGCATCATAATGATTGTCTTTAACATTTACAAATTACAAATCTTAACTGTTAATATTTTCCACACTTTTTATTGTAATTATTTCTTTGTGACAGGGTTATAAAAGATGCAAAGATAACAGATATTGAGAGGTTTAGCTTTGCAAGATACAAAAGTCTTGAGGAAATGTAAGTTGCAAATGAAAATTTAGCAAGAACACTTCTTTGAACGCAAGTATTTTACTGATTGAAATAATATCCTCCATTTGAAAGGAATGTTGCTTAGAATCTTTACCCTTGAATGTTCAAAGACTGCACACCTTCTTAGTTATCCTCAAAATTTCAGAATGTTGTCCTCTAGAGTGGTAAGAAAAGTAACGTCTTTTGTCATGATATACGTCGAAATTCTCAGAACCAAAACTGAAAGAATGAAGAACAATCAGTATGGAGAAATTAATGTTTGACTGGAACATTCAACTGAAAAGTTTAAAAGAATAATCTATTTATTTCTTTCAGCGACCTGAGGGATAATCTTATTAGAAGTATACAACCTGGTTCTTTCGTTCATCTAAAACAGCTTGAAATTTTGTAAGTATAAGTGCAAGAAAACCAATAAAGGATTCCTTGTTTCTAAATTTTGTTCCAATACATGAAAAGATATTTTTTGGCATTCCTTTGGTCCATTTTAGGATATTTTCGCAAGCCCCGTTTTAAAAACCTGTTCAGAGATCGAGCGTAGATTTGAGGATTATCCGCGCTACTGAAGAAGTCTATTAACTGTTGTTCTTTGCTGCTTTTAATTTCCTCCTAGGAAACTTCAACGAAACAAGCTGAGAGTGCTACAGTCTGGAACATTTCAGGGGTTAATTTCACTTTCTGAATTGTAAGTACACTAGGACTTCGTAAACGGGCTGGTTTTCACTAGCGACGGAGTCGCAGTCGGAGTCGCCATCAGAAGCGTTGAGCGATACGATCTAGTGAATTAAATCGACGCGGTCGGAAGCAGAACACCAATTCCGCTATGGCTCCGACTGCGACTCCAATTCTTGATTTTCACGATCGAGTTCGTAAGCGATCCGACTCCGGCTTACGACTCCGACTGCGACTCCGTCGCTAGTGAAAACCAGCCTTAAGTATTAAACTTTTGACAATATATAATTCCTTTTATGAGTAGTTCAAACTAGATCTGATATGGTAATTGTCCCATCATCTTTCGAAGATGGCCGAAAGTTTTCTGGTCCCAGTCGGTCATTTTCCAAAGTTCTTGATCCGAAATCTTTGCGGGAATCTTTATTCTTTATCAGTCTTTACGATAATTTGTAAGGGTGCACTTCCTTTAAGCTCCAGTAGGAAAATACATTATACAGCCCTGAAATGAGATTCCATCAGAGAAATCAGGGAAATCGGGCTTCTTTTCGGCTACATTAATTATATTACCGAAATTAATTAGATGCCCTTGCTTTAATAAACATGCAGGAATCTCATTGGTAACCCAATTGAAGAGATAGAAGAAGAGGCATTCAGCGGACTGAAACAGTTAACCAAGCTGTGAGTAACATACGACATGTAGTATGCCTTATAGTGTGATCTTAATAGCGATGTCCTTACAGAGCGCCATCAGCGCAAGGACATCTAAATACGAGAATAAACCAATCAGAGACAACGCTCAGACGTCTGCAGTGTGGAATATTTTCGCGCCAAAACAAGGAAACGCGCGTTGAACTCGTGAAAAGAAACATTAATGGACAATGGACCTTTTCGGCGATAAAGCGGCCATTTTGAAATCTATTGTTTCAAATAGCTATTATGGGATGCTTAGGAGGCAACTATATACTTATGTACCCCCTATTTGAAACAATACACTCGGAATTCAAAAAGTCTGCCGTATCGCCGCAAAGGTCTATTCCCTCTCAAGATGAGATTCGCCTGAAGGGAATCATGGTGGTTTTATTCATGAAAACAAATATCTGGTCCAAGATGATGAATACAACTACCATGATTCCCTAGGGGCGCATCTCACAGAGTTCATAGAGGGAACTGAGCATTAATTCAGTCTTATTTACGAAAGATTATTAACTCTGGGCTATTTCAACAGGGATTTGAGTAACATGACGCTGAGTACTATCTCGTCCGGAGCCTTTCGCGGAATGGATTCGTTAACAGAACTGTAAGTTGTTCCTGTCGTTGCAATCGTCACCGTTCTTGCTGTTGTTGATTTTAATTATTTGATTGTGTATGGAGGTATCCGCAAGGGAGATTCGTCTGTTAGTAACGGGGATTCGCACCGTCTCAGCAATTTTATCTGTAATCTTTCAACAAATCTGGACTTCGAATGATCATAGAGTGAACTGAATTCCACTTAGCCTTCGTACCATCAATTATAGACATGCTTTCCAATTTATAACTTTATCTTTCTTCTTTAGTTACCTGAACAACAACAAACATTTGCAGCAGTTACCACTGGATATTTTCGACAACATTCCACTTACTTATCTGTAAGTAACCGTTTTAATTAACACTGACGGTCTACAAAGCTCAAAACTCCATAGCCTGTTCCAGGCTCTCGGTCAATGGGGACGATCGACCCCGCTCGTCCCGCGCCCGCTTTTTCGATCGTCCCCACTGACCGAGAGCCTGGAACAGGCTAAAAACTCCGGTTTTAGTGTAGATATTTCCTGCGCACGGAGTAAAATTTCAACTGGGTTAACGCGCTTAAATCCAATAGAAGAAATGCGTCGGAACTTTAGTCTGTGGATTAAGTAAAAAAAGCCTTAAGGCGAAATATGTAAGTCGCTAAGATGCGCCGAGCATGGACGCCGCCTGCAAGTTCTCGACCTAAGCGTTTTAAGATAAGACTACAACTCAAACTAAAAAAAAATGTTGATATCGAGTTGGCAGTCATCTACACTAGCCGTATAAAATGAGGCTATTAATACTTATTAAAGAACTGAATCATTGGATAATGCAATTCAAGAATTTTCATTGGCTCAGCCATCATGGTATATGAGCCATTATAATCCATCAAATATTTTCGCTGGCGCGCGATTGGTTTAAACACGTCACGTGACCGAATGTTCCCCAGCTCAGAACTGGGGAATATCCGAGATTAGTATCACCCAACTAGTGGACTAATGCAAATCCTGCATTTTAATTGGCTACGCGACTAGAGGACTATTAGTAATAGTCCTCGAGTAGCGAAATTGGCGCAATCGAGCGTGACGCTTTCGTTCGTTTTATTCCCAAATAAATACTTCTTCATATTGATACGGGTCTAATTGTTATTAGTATCACCAAACTAGTGGACTAATGAAAATTCTGCATTTTAATTGGCTACGCTACTAGAGGACTATTAGTAATAGTCCTCGAGTAGCGAAATTGGCACAATCGAGTGTGACGCTTTCTTTCGTTTTCATCCCAAAGAAATATTTCAACTTGCATTTGCTAACTTTGTTATTGCCTTTTCTGTTCGACTAGTTGGGTGATACTAAAGCAATTAGACCCTTCGCCCTCAAGGGCCACGGGTCAATAGCCCATGAGGCGAAGCCGAATGGGCTATTGACCCGTAGCCCGCAAGGGCTACGGGTCTAATTGTTTATTATTTCCCAATTTTCAAAACTGCGCGAGTTGCGCAGGGGCGTGTTGCGAAAAAAGATTTGAAGGATAATAAACACAATAGCCTCCATTTGGCGCGAAAATATGCTCGGGTAGTTGTCCTTAGACATTACCTGTTCCTCAAAGCTCGCAGTTTTCCTCGAGCTACGCTCTCGGAGAACTGTTCGCCTTTCGGAACGGATAATGTCTGCGGACAAATATCCTAGCATATTTTCGCGCCATATGGAGGCTATTCTCTATTTATGGAACCGTCAGCTCTACTGTACTGTAGTTGTTTTTCCTTCAGGGCGACCGACAAGTTTGAGTTTTGCTGCATTGCAAAGTTATCTGGTACAAACTGTTCCGCTCCTACAGATCTGTTTTCGTCCTGCAATGATCTCATGGCCAACCTCACATTATACGTGTGCATTTGGATTCTAGGAAGCATTGCGTTGGTAGGAAACGCCTTCGTCTTAATGTGGCGACTAAAAACAAAAAGCGACAACAAGGTTCATTCACTGCTGTTGCTAAACCTGGCCATCGCGGACTTCTTGATGGGGATTTATCTCATCATCATAGCTGGCGTCGACGTGTTTTACCGTGGAAGGTACTTCATATACAACGACAGCTGGAAACACAGCCCGCTGTGCCAGTTCAGCGGTTTCGTGTCCACCATCTCTAGCGAGGCATCTGTGTTCATTTTGACGATCATGACTGTAGATCGTTACGTCACCATTGTTCATCCATTTAAACACATCGGTCTAAGCGTGCGCGGTACTTACGTCGCGTTATTCGTAACATGGTTCGTTGCTTTCATTCTAGCAGGAGTACCTCTCATTGGAATTGATTACTTCAAAGAGTTTTACGCTCGTTCTGGAGTCTGTCTACCTCTCCAGTTAACGTCAAACAAACCGACTGGCTGGGAATACTCCGTGTTTTTGTTCCTAGGGCTGAACTTTGCCTCATTCATGCTGATTTTCTTTCTCTACCTAGTAATGTTTTTTAAGATTCAGAAAACTCGGCAAAAGAGTGGCGCGGGCAGTGCAGTGGCTTCTATTGGAAGTAGAATGGTGTTTATCGTACTCACAGACTTTTCTTGTTGGATTCCTATCATAATCATCGGCATTGCTTCGTTGCTGGGCATGGAGGCCAGTCCTACAGTGTACGCTTGGATTGCCGTTTTTGTTCTACCTTTGAACTCGGCGTTAAACCCGATCCTTTACACGATATCCACCGCCAATTTTCGTAGGAAACTTCGCGGCAGTGTTCGGAGTTATAGTCGGAAAAGCCGAGCGATGGGTATAACCGAACAATCATCAATCGAGTCCAAGTCTACGACGACCTCGCATTCACGAAGCACGGGATCGGCCAATGGTAAATCAAAACTATTGAATGGCGCAACGAGAGAATCTGACGTATAATTGGCAAGCTACGGGGTATAACGCCGAAGAAACTTCGAAAGTAGGGCAGAAAAGAAGGGACAATGTTACTAGAGGAGAATACGGCGAAGGAAAGGCAATCGGTTAACAGTTACGGAAGACGAAAATTCAACATCGACTGAGCTGGAGTGAATGCGATATTTGTTACCGCCAGGACCGGACAGCAAAAAAATTATGCAAAGTTGCGATCGGTTATCGAGTCCACGCCTGCGGTGGCCCTGAATTATGTCGACGATGACGAGATGCAATTAACGTAGGTTGCAAACGTGATGTGACTGATGTTTCCGAGGTTTGGTACTGATGCATTAAATAACCGGCTTTCGCTGTGGTAGAACTGTATGGAAAAAATTAGTACTGCTAACCTAGAGATAATGCTTAGCCAGTATAGAACGTCAAAGATACTAAACATTATTATTAATGAAAACCGCGCTTGATGCAAAAAAAATACTTGAAGGATAATAAACACAATGACCTCCATTCGGCGCGAAAATATGCTAGGATATTTGTCTTTGGACATTATCTGAGGAAAAGATAATGTCCGCGGACAAATATTCGAGCATATTTTCTCGCCAAATGGAGGCTATTGTTTATTTATACCATGCCCTTCTATGTAATTTTTGAGGGCGTTTTTATTTTTTTTATTTATTTATTAAAGTTATTAAAGTTACTTATAACTTAATATTATCATCTCATATCCAAAGCGCGCTCGTGGAATTACTGTTCATTGTTTTGAACTGTATCTGCGAAAAACTCTACTTTCAAAATATGTGACACAGAAACCACTCCCTCTTCTGACGAGGGTTGTAGTTTTCTATTTGATATCAATATATAATTGAGGAAGGAACTCATGAGGATTCAAGAGACGATCATCAAGGAGAATGATTTTGACATTCTTACAAATTCTCCTAGCAAGTACTACAGGAAGTACATAAATAAAAGTCTGGATAATTTGTTAGCCTGCGAGTAGGCTCACGTTGGAGCACAAGCGCGCGCGTCGTGGCCGCGAGCGCGAAATCGAGCGGCGAAGATGCGAGACGAGAAAGTGAGCCTGCTTTCTTGGCCCCTCTTCACCAGACTCCTTACCGCCGGATCGCTTTGCTCTTCGCCGCTCGCGCGTGTGACTCAGAGGTGAGCCTGCTCGCAGGTTCATAATTTGTATGTCGATATATCAGAGATAATCAGAGGGTTGAACTAAGGGCAGTAAGCAGCGTATTTTGAACAGCATAAAAAATAGGCCGCTACTTCTGTCGTGTAACCTGTGATTCCCAGTCTGGTTCTAAGTTATAAATGAGTTCAGTTTTAATTAAGTTTTAATTAAGTTCAGTTACCCCTAAGGGAAGCGATAATTGAATACCGTAACTCCACCCACAAACCTTAAAATAAAAGTCATTATAAAACAAATGACCAGCCTTGCGTTTATGCTTACATTATGAAGCTGAATATGTTGCGTCCCAGCTCGCATTTCAGGGTCGTGTAAACTCTCTCTTACGGGAGAGTATTTTCGTATGACGGAGAGAAGGCTAGAACTTAACAAGTATTCCTGATTGCTTTGGCTTTTCTCTCTTCGGATATTACTGAAAAGTCTTGTTCCTTCGAAAAGTAACCACTCTCTAATGAGCTCCCCGATCGAACCACCCTTTAAGGCAAAATAGGAAAAGCACACACCGGCTAGGTAGCCGATGTATTTAGTTTCCAGATATGGGCAGGATTTTTTCCTATCTGTCGTGTAAAATGCTGTATTTCGAGTGTGGCAAGTTTAAAACGTGTTATTGCGTGTATTACCACCCGCGAAAGTGACGAGTTGAACTGAATATACGCGCAACAAACATATTTCAACAGTACGATACCAGTGGGCACATACTACGATTATCAGTTGAATAAGGCGCGACAAAAGTTTGTTCACCAGGTTTTAATGTGAAACTCGCGTTGTTCTCACGGGCAACTGGCTCCGTTTCCAGTGGCAACTTGTTTGGTATCATTGGCAATAAAGCGCGCGAAATTGTAGGCGACACGACAGGCGACGCACGACTGTTGATATTGTTGCCAATGGAAACGAGGTAAGTTGCACCAAACTTCCGCCGTGCCTTACTCAACTGATAATCTAGTATTTGCCCGACATGCTGCATCGAAAATGTTTCCCGAATTACATGGCCTTCACTGTAAACTATTCTCACTGGGGCCATCTCGTACAAACGCCCCAAATCTCTCCGGGATTCAAGGATAAAAATCCCCGCGCGCTCGTAGTCTCCTGGGTGTTCTGTTTCACACAGGTTTTGTATAAATAGGCCTGTTTTGGCCTGTTTAATTCTCTTTTCGTTAAACGTTCGCCAGTCGTTAGCTTGGCGTCCCTCCCTCCTCCCCGCAGCGATGACCATTGCTGCCATCCTAGCTAGCTCCCGCTCCTTTTCGCCTCCGGGCTCGCTTCTTCCCATATCTTATCCTTGCCTGGGGCGTTTGGGAGTGAGGGTTCCCACTGGAAATTTATTACTAATATTGGTGGCTTTGTGTACCTGAACCAAAAGCAAAAGAAAGCCGAGTGCTTTTCTTTGCGCAGCTAAGGAAACTTGTCTAAATATTTGTTTAAAAATTCAGAAGCTCGAAAATCTATAGCCCGATACCTGTGTTCGTGGGAGATCATGAGAGGGATCACGTGACGTGACCAGTCTGCTTCGCGCGCAAGCGCAGTCTCTCATGATGGTGTACATTTGTTTATTGAAGTTCAATATTGGTTCCTGCGAACTTTTCCCCAGTCACTGGTGCGAGCGTTCTTCGTGAAAGCGCCCGGTTGTCGAAGAACCGAGCATATCCGAATACGTCCGAAGATTACCGAGGACGTTGAGGAGATTTACGCTCACTTAACATCACCTAGTCATCTTCTTTAATAGGTTATTCTCGATATATTAAAACTGTGGCCTGGCTCTCAGGTTTGGGGAACAAAGCAAAGGAAATAAATTATTCATCTCCCGATGTGATTTCTATTGTTTTATTCCCCCAAGCCTTGGAACCAAGTTAGAATTTAACATATTGAAAATGGCCTATCCCTACACTAGCACCTAATCTGCCTTACTTAAAAAAATTAACGCCCATCAAACCATTTATCACACTTTATCTACCCAGTGAAAAAGCAACCAAAGCATGTAACAAAGTATTTTATTACTTGTACAACAGTAACATTTCAAGAATGCTCAAAATGACGAAAATGTTATCCGAATTAAACAACTACCCTATACATATAAAATAAACTAGCATAATTCCTAGAAAATCACTGAACAAAACCAATTCCCCCACGACGGTATAAAAGAGAGTACTTCGTTGAACAATAGTTGCTCTGAACAAATGAAATTCCACCAAAATTTGGTGGTCAAAAGTAATTATGAAACATTTTGCACGAAAAAATGTTGATAATTTTCAACGTTCTTCGTAGCTTGAAATATGGCATTCAACTAAAGAACAGAGATTTCTTGACATGACAATTACTTGTTATGAGCGACACAGTCTCTCATAAAGCAGGATAAAGCAAAGCAACAGTCTGTTAAAACAACCAACAATTTATTCCTTGCCTCAATATTTCCACCTGCCCTCCTCCCTAAGTGTTCAAGGCCATAATGAAATCAATATGTTTTCATGTTCCACATAGTCTTCTATCATCCATCAAACACCTTACTTTACAGTTTTTAATATTCACTTCAAGAACTTAGAAACGGGTTATTTTAAAGCTGTCAACAATTACTCAAAAATTCACAAAGAAAAACTGATGTACTGGACATTTTCGTACACATTCTTCAATTTTTGAAAAGTAAGAGAGGTATTCTTATCCTGGCAAAATTCTCATTGTATGCACGTTGCCACAAAACCAGTATCTTCACTGATAAGTATTCCATTCATTTCTTCTTACAATGAAATGTAACCAAGCACTAAGGTTACAAGAATCGAGAAAATTATCACCAAGAGGGCATATAGTTAAAATGATAATTATTAATTGAACCAAACTCTCCTGGCTGACTCAGTATCAATACACATGTACAACAGATGTACTAAGACCAGTAAGGAGAGCGTCTTTGTTGATGTCGGGGGTAGGGGGGTGGGTCGGACTGGAAAAGGGTGGGAGAAAAAAGCTGAAGGGAAGTTTGAGATGAAAGTCTGTGTTGCCATTCTCTTGTTTCCACGTTGTTTTGTTGTCTTAAAGTTTTGACATGGAAAATATGAGTTTGACCGTATGGTTAAATAACAGCATCACATTTTTCAAACAAAAAATCTTAGTTGAGCTTCAAAAAGGGCCAAAATTTCAATTTTGTCTAAAAGACACCTTAAAATTCTTGACTAAAATGAATGGAATAGGTACTGCAAAGAATACAGGAATTTAATGAATCAAGCCACTACGCATTAAAGTGCTTTGAACCTTTTCAATAACTTTGGGTCATGGAGTCAGACAAACCACTCCAGCTTCTTTGAAATCACCTCTCTAATTTATACATTGCTTGCAGGTGAATAAAAAGGGTTTTTCTATCCGTATTAATGTGCTCAAAGCGGTTCATTGAAGTGTGTCTATTTTGGCTAAGAATTGCTCCACCATTTCTCGTGAGCTCCTTTCAATTCAGTGAGTACTACCATGACCGCTTGCTTCTCAACATTTTTTGGAGGTAATGGGCATGTGCGGAAAGTGACTCTGTCTCCTTCTTTTGGCACAAATTCTCCTTCAATGCTGAAATGAGAAAGAAAAGAAAAACTGTAAAAACTAAAAACTAACACTAAATTTTGCCAAGTTGTCTGTTGAAGGAGTTCCCTCATTTCAATGAAGCAATGGAGGATAAATGGACCACCCTAGAAAACAACCTTCAACAGGTGTAGTAGCAGATATAGTATTCTACACAAATGCAGTACAAAGTACATGTTTCTTGGATATTAATGCTCAACTAGTACATTTTATTTAGTGTTCTTTTTTACAGGGAAAAATGGTTAGTCTCCTGCTTAAAACGCAATCAGGAGGACAAGGGCACTCTGACCCTATCCCATTGCATAAACGTTTGCATTCCTTCAGTGTCGGACCCCCGGGGGGGGGACTCCCATATAAAATGGACAGGGGTGCTCTTCGGCCTTTGGGGGGGGGGGGTTTAAAAAGCAGTTTTGGTTCCTCTTAAGGCATTCAGCCTCAAAAGGTTCATGGCGAGGAGCCTTTGCAGTACCGTCAGGGTACTGAGCCAAAAAAATAATGACAGGAGATATTTGACAATCAACTGATTTATAATTTTGTTGCATTTACACTGGGAATTCACAACTCATCAATAAAAGAGTGCACATGCAGTTACCGTGTTCTTTTTGAATTGGTGTCTCTCAGGGTTGAAAAAATTCAAACCGCACCCATAAAACAAGATACCTCTTAGGGGTTCTGTTCAAAATTTCCAACAAGCACCCCCATCCTTTTAAAGTGCCTATGAAGTAAAAAATAATTGCTGCTTATTTGAAAGGCTTTTCAAAGTAAAGAAGAATGGCTTTTCCCTTTTTGGAATATCTTTTTTCGTTCTAGAGATATTTACGTTTTTGTATTATGCAAATGAGCAAAGTGATGACATCATAGGTGGTTCCACTTGAACAGTAAAACAGTGAATCAAGAATATCTCTAGAAATATTGGAGCAGTGTTCTTCAAACTTGGCACCACAAATGTGCACCACAAAAGAAACAGAATGACACCTTCTGTGTTGTTGCCATGGCAACACTTTTGGCTCCAGTCTCTTTCTGTGAAAAACCAAATATGCCAATTTGCAACCCTTCGAAAAGMGACAGAAGGTCTTGCTCGGAACACACATGATTCCCATATTGTCTTAACTCTTCCCATTAGATTGTTGGGAGTGGATGATCCTTGTTAAAGATAAAATCTGGTAGTGTTAGTTTTAATTAAAACAGGACCAGCAGCGTAACTGTTGCCATGGCGACAGCACGACGGGTGTCATTTTGTTTCTTTTGTGATGCACATTTCTGGTGCCAAGTTCAAAGAACACTGCTCTAATATTTCTAGAGATATTCTTGATTGAGTGTTGAACTGTTTTAGTGGAACCACCTATGATGTTGTCACTTTTAATACAAAAACGTGAATATCTCTAAAACGAAAAAAGATATTCCAAAAAGGAAAATGCCATTCTTCTTTACTTTGAAAAGCCTTTCAAATCAGCAGCAATTATTTTTTACTTCATAGGCACTTTAAAATGAGAGTCCCACCCACGGCTAGACCCTGCTAGGAGTACAACTGCTCCTACCAACATTGTTCTAAAGGTCATGCAAACCACTCCAGCACACAAACTCCTTCTGAGTGTGTGGGGCAAAGTGTCCACCCAAGCCTCATTTGTTCCTAACATACCTTGTGCACTACATCACATCATTAATGACACTGCCTGTATCACCTTCAGCTATTACTTCTCTTACATGTATCAATAAAAGAATGCAACAGATGTTTTACCCTAACTGCTGGCTCTACAGCACTATTTATATTTCAGATGTAAAAAAAATTATCAAATGGTAAAATAAGTTTTTACTCACTCAGAGATGTGCACAAAAATATCCTTGCCACCATCGTCAGGTGTGATAAAACCATGACCTTTGTTCCGACAGAAATTCTTGCAAACTCCTGTTTGCTCTGGAGATTCTGATGCAATTCGTGATCTGAAAGAAATTAAAACATGGTAAGTAACAACACACCATGTGCAGATTGCAATGAAAGTAGATGTTAAAAATATATTTTTATCATGTGAATTTCTGAGTTTGAGATGCACAGAAAGATCACCCTGTATTGGTGAAGTTATGTACTTACTGTGTAATATGATAACACATTCTGCTTAATACCTCAGTACAGATACTTAACGTACCCTGAAGAAGGCAGTAAAGCCAAAATCATCTGACAAAAAATTATTACCTTCTGACATGAATTTTTTGCAACACGTTTATCTCACGATTTTGAGTTGGACATATCTCACGACATTTAAATTCCACAGTTTTGCGAAAATTTTGTATTTCGAATCAATTTAACTTTGTGCTTTTGAGTAACACAGAATTTAATTCCCTGGCAATGCCATTTTAACATGTCCTTGAATTTAGTAAACCAACTTTATCAAAAGTACAATAACGTCAAAATTAACAAAAATGCAATGGCGGGGCTACAGGTCAACAGTAATATAATGTGAGTCACTTCATTTTTGTGTCATGTTCATGACACTTACTGTTTGCATCACTCTAATTTCGTGATTTTGTTTACATATCGCGAAAATTTCCTGTAATAAGGAACCTAAAAGATAAAGTTATTTCTCACTATTTTCAAACCAACGTAAACTTACAAGCAATTACACTAAAATAAACAAGCTAAGTTATCTGGCTGTATGGCAAATGAGAGATGGTAATCCCCGTTAAGACAATACACTCGCAGTCAATTACTGTCTTCAAAGCTGTATATTAAGGAGTAATAGGGGAAGGGAGGCTGGAGAGCTAAGAAATATGTGCAGTGTTGTCCTTTCAAAAATATTGACACAGAGTACAGTTCACAATATTACGTGGGAATCCAATTCACACATAAACACTGTGACCTCCTTTCTCAGTATGGCTTTATCGCGTCATGATCTCATAATAGCGAGACTAAATTGTATAGGAAGTCACATACACACATGAGAGCTGTTCCAAGAGATAATCTTGTCGGAAGAAATTAAGACCGTGAGATCACTAAACCAGAGATCATAAGAGCTGTGCGGAAATCAATTAACCACACCTTGCTTCCAATTAGCAACTGACAAGTAATAAATGTGCTGTTTTCAGTCTGATTATTCTAAACACGCACAGCTTGGAATACAACTTTAATATAAGGCTCAAGTTTACATTGTGTGAATCCATGGACTTCACTACGTATTTTAACACCTAGAATAAAAGCTCGTGACATTACTTACTGAGAAGTTGTCCTAGTTCGTCTTGTTGGTATAGGACTCGGGATTTTGAAGGGGAATTTTCTTGCATGAGGGGGCGAACTTTCCGGAGTTGAAGTCCGTTTGCTGCTAGAGTGATCCTTCGTTACAACAGCTGGTTTCTCGTCGGCAACGTGTACATGATCAGCGTCTTTATGATCCGAAGACATTCTTTACTGAAGGGTTTAATAAAAGCAAAAAACAAGCAGAAACTCAGGATCTCATTAATGCATAATTCCATTCAAACTAAGCCCATAGAAGAAGACGTGAAAAATGCAGGGCATAGCTTGCAGTAATGTTATGTGCATTTCAGCATTCGCATTTGCGTATTAACACAGCGTTGTCACGTAACAGAGATTTCGTTTGCAAAGATTGACACCTCTTTCTTTTCTGAAACATGCTGTTGACCAAAGATACCTTACCTGCTAAGAAAATAATCCCAATATAAGCTTCCAACGAATTTTAAGATTACACTGCCCACCCCACGCAAGGACGATCGATCAGCGGAAGCACGGTTGAAGGAGCGGAAGGGAGTCGTTCCCAACTCCCCTCAATCAAATGCGTGGACAAGGGATTGAGTAACAAAACAACATGGCCTCCGAAGATTTGAAGAAATGAAAGCAGATCGATCGTTGAAATGCGTTGTAGCACAAGTTTCTGTCTAGCTGTCGTTGTTAAACCTTCAGTGTGGTAACTATAATGTTTTTGACGTCTACTCAGAAACAGATCATGAGTGGTAAGCTTATTTTTTGGCAAATATTCGTTCTCTTGTTCATGTATCCCGGAACTCGATCAAATCACGCTGACATCATATCGGAACTCAAAATCTAATCTTGACATTGTTTTTTAACAATAAGGTCAGCAGCATAATACAGAAGGCGAACGACAGAACCTCCTTGACAGATTACTAGATGCCGTAAAACAGGTAAAAACCAGAGATTTTCTTTAATTTAATTGTTGACAAAGAAATTAACAATCTTGGCCACAATAAGCTTATATTGGCTTAGTGTTCAGTATNAGTGTAGCTTACAGTTCTTGTTGACGCTACGCCTAGAGATTTCGAACTCATGCTCTGTTGAAGAGACTGGAGGAGCCCATTGAGTATTGAAAGATCAAGCGAGGTTCGACTAGAAAAATAAATAAAAATACATGTGAAGAAGAGCCGAGGGATAAGAAAAATACAGGACACAATATAAAGACTTACAAATGCTTCCTGACTGTAGCGATGACGGTGAAGCTAGGTAGAGTATAGATTCCACAACAATATTAACTTGAAACTATAGAAAACATTGAAAAGATTGGCGTGCTAGGAAACCGTAGCGTTTCCTAATTTGCATACATAAATGGCAAGCTAAAATAAAAATTCACACGTGGAGTCCTATAGGAAGACCCGAGCCAATTCTGGAATAGATGGAAACATCTGTGGAGCGGCCATTCAGATGGTTTTGAAGAGATTTCACTGGTCTCAGCATGTTGATCGATAAGTACTTATAGCGGATCGATTGTGTTTTCACTATGTGAAAGAGGCAAACTACTTTATGTAAGAACTCCTGACGAGTATATAGGTTATTAATTATTTCACTTTTTTGTAGCAGAAATTTTGATTGATTTTGATCAGGAAATTGTCTCCTTTCTTACTTCTCGTGATCAACTTGTTGTTATTTGAGACTTGAAGAAACATTCCCTGTACCTTGGATAGCTTAAAAATATAGTTTAGATTTAACTGGAGTTGACCCTAAAATACTTTAATTGATTTTTTCGCAGGGTTGTTTGTCTGTTAACCCAGCTTGAGGCAGTCTTTCAACATGGCTTTAAAAAGTCCAGAGTTAGTGCATTTAGGTAATAGTATTTTCCTATGGTTATCAGTGCACATGGTAAATAGATCAGAAAGGGTCTTGTAAAGTTTTGTACATCTGTGAGTGTATCTACAAGTCTCTGGTCTGCTTATACCTGTAGTGCTATGAAAAAAAAAAACTATGTAATAAGGGGCTTATAAAACTGGAACAAATCTTGGCAAAGCTTTTGTCTATACCTTTGATTTCCAAGGGGGGCATTTATTAAGGGTTGATGGCCACTGTCTTTTCAATATAATAATTTATGACTTACTGTATTCTTTTGTTGCATAAATTTAAACTACATTTAGGCCTTAAGTAAGTACTAAGTAAACTAAGTAAAACCTTTATTTAAATTTGTTTAGCCTAGATAGATTAACTGGGGACAGTAGTAAAATAACAACACTAATTGACATACGGTACTTATAAAATTTGAATATTTACAGCAAAATGATAAAAACTTAGGCCTTAATGTTCATTTGCCTTCAATCATTTATCCAGGCAAGTTGGTCAAGCAGCAGGGATTGTAAAGTTAGAATCAGATTCAGGTATGCAACTGTTGTATACTACTTTATAAAACCCACAAACTCTGAAACTGAAACAGATTATTCTATCAACTCATGCAATTTCAATTAAAAATGTACCAATATGTAATTCCAGTGACCAGCTAGGTTGCAAAACAACAACAACAACAACTACTTTGTATTGGAAAAATAATTTGGTGTCAACTGAATACAAGCGAAATTGCATGTGAATCTCCTCAATTTTTTAGTGTTCTGGAACTTTGTGAAAGGTCACTTGGAAAAGCTGGAAGTGGACAGATTTCTCGCCCTTGAGAAAGCAACAACAGATGCTGGGAGAGGTCAGTAATAAAAATACATTGTTTACGAAAGGTGACTCTTGTTCGTCATCACAGACTCTCTCTTTCTTGATTGCAGGTGAGAGATGTGTTGACTGTAGTTAACATGATGTAATATTGCAAAATTAAATGAATTTTATGAAATTAGTTTGCAATTTAATGTGTCACGTGGACAAATTAACCAAAGGAAGATCTGTGACCTTTCGATATCAATTTTATTATGTTTGCCAAAACTTAGCTCCCTATAGTCAAGAGTATTTCCACTAACATGGCCAGCAACCATGCAAATGTTTTAAAGCTATCAAAAGTGTTTACATCCCACAGGATTAGTTTAAGACACCAAAATGGCCGCCATTTCATTGTTTTGGGACACAATATGGCTGCCATGGCAAGGTCAGTTCAGACCAGATGTAAAACAGAGGATTTTTGTATGATGGGAACTTCCCAATGACATATCATTATTTACCAGTAATTTGGTATAACTTAATTTTAAGTGTTTTCTCTTTTCAAGGTCGTGCCTGGCTGAGGTCTACGTTGAATGAACACTCATTAGAACGATATTTCCATCACATGGTTGGAAATAAAACACTTTTAAGGCAAGCAACTTGTACATCTTCATGACTAAGACCTGTTTTAAAAATGTACTGACTTTAAGATCTGAAAATTCAAGAAACTATTATTAATGAATACAGTTTTCCATGTTGCTCTAGATGATGTGATTATAACACAATGACCTGGAAAACGAGAAAGCTGTGTAAACACTTGACGTGGTTCTAAAGAATATATTAATTTTTATTGCATGTTTTTATTGCAGTCATTTCTATGAAAAGGAAGCTTTCTTAATGGATGAAGAGCGTGCCAGTATGCTTCCCATGATTGCTGCAGGTGAGAATCCTCAGAAGAGAGAATTTTTGCCTGTTTCTACAGACTGTACAATATGTGGTAAAGATTTCTGAAATGACAAAAGAGGACTCTAGTGGTCACCAGCAGATGTTAAGAGTTCTCTAGTGATTCTATCAAGAATCAGTGAACAGTATGCCCTGCTGTGGTAAATGAATAAAAATATGACATAACAGGGAGGTTCATGATGTTACACAAATTACTAAGTTCTTTTATTTAAATATATTTGATTGTAGATATTTATGGGCCAAAGAACCAACCGCTGCATTCGTTTGTTATATGTAATTCTTTCTTGGTTGTCATTCGTACAAGATACTTACACCTTAACCTTGCATAAAAATGTACCTGTATGGAGATTACCCAGCTTGATAAAATAAAATAATGTTTATGCCACGTGTTATTGTGTCGCAGGTCTCAGTCCTATTTTGTTTGCCCTTACTGTTGATAGTGATGAACTGAACATAGTGCGGCAGGCAAGTATATGACCATGTACTTCAATTGAGATTTGGAATAATTTATACGTTGAGCAAGTAAATATTGAAACTGTAGATCAATTCATTAAAATGCTAGTTACTAGACCTATAGGCACCAGACCTTATCGCAGGAGTTTTTCATCCACTGTACGTTTGAACCAGTGGACAACTCCATGCACAGTCAAGCATGCTAACCATACGGCCACTGCATGAGGCAAGGCCAAGGCTACAAGAATGTTAATGTACATGACAATAATTATTACTCATTAAGTTGATGTGAAAACTAAGGCTATGTTTGCTCACTGCATGTTTTGTTTCTGCAGGCGCCAGCACTGACGATCAACAAAGACGTGTTTACCAACATTTTGCCATCTTTTCCACAAAAGCAATTTGTAGAACCCGCTCCTGTATATTCTGCTGGACTAACTGGTTAGTAATCTCCTGTTACATTATTCAGACTGTCAAGAGAGATAATTATCTAATTTCTCTTCACGTGTTTCAACAGTACTAGCCTGGAAAGTGAGGTTGATAAAATGCTTAGATAAATCTCTCTCTCTGGAGAAAGGAAAACACTTCATGCTTGAAGTCAAATGCGTGAGAAACCGGCCTTATTTCGTAGTGGGGCTAGTATAATTGTCCAATCATGACTAGTCTCCTTAGCAGGTGTAAACGGGGGAGGGGTGGAGGGGGTGAAAAGCGCAACGGCTTCTCTCCCTCTCCTCCCCCCTTTTCTCTCCGAAGTTCCTGTTACGCCTGTCAGCGTGCATAGTGTCTTAGGTATAATTATGTCACTTGTGCTCTTAATCTTTAGCATTTCTCTTGCTTGTTATTTTTTACCAGATGAATCCAAACAAGACAAAAAGAGAAAGAAAAAGAGGAAAAAACGAAATGCAGCCATAGTGTCGATCGAAGAAGATGACAGTCTTCAAGGTACTACGGAACACGTGAAAGCTTTTCCTCTCGATGACTCGACAGTGGAAGAGACTTTTAAGACAAATTCTGACTCAAAGGCATCAACTGTAGGGCATAGCCGTTCATCTTCCTATCCCGGTAACATAACTGTAGTCGCTGAAGGAACCTCAGAGAAAAAATCACGTGTGAATGGGCAAGAAATTTTATTTACTGAAGTAACGAAATCTATTTCTTTACCTGACAACTCGGTTGCCGTAGAAAACACTGCGGACGACACTCCAATGGCAACTAAAACCAGCGGTTTTGATTTAGAAGATTTCCTCGAAAACGTGACTTCGGGACCAAGGTATGGCACTATGGGGGAGAGGGTCAGGGTGCGAGAGACCACTAAGGGAAAAGACGGGGACAATTTTGTCTTCGATGCAGCAGGATTATTCCTTAACCAAGCGAAAGAAGACAGCCACGAGAGAAACTTACTGCAGTTTCAAAACGCAACGAAAAGTGATAATGACAAAGAAATGTCCTCAACTACACCGAATGTCTCTGAGCTCGACACAACTAGTACAGAATCTGTGCGTCAGATTCAGGGTGACTTTACAGCAAATGAAAGTGATATATTGCAAAGACGGAACGTTTCCGAAGGTGAAGGTTTCGGTGGAAGGTTCTCGAGTACAAAAACGCTTTCCTGTGAAAGAAAAGAAAATTTACCTCGACGAGAACAGAACCTAGATTTGTTTCGTGTATATAGCTTAGCAGAAGAAGGAAGTTCCAGTGATTCAAACTTTTCAGTGGCGCAATCGCAATTTCCTGCTGTTATGGAGAAGACAACTTCTGATACTGAAGTTGCAAATGAATCACAAGGTTCGGCTGCCGTGCACCTGGACAATCTTCACATAAGCAAAGTGAGCGTCGAAGAGGACTCCTGTAGTGCACAGGAGTCTTACGAGTTGAGACAAAGTCCTTCGGGGAAAACATTCCATGAGGAAAGAACAGAAAATGGGGAAGAACTTGATGGAGACAGGAGTGTCAGTGGTTTGTATGATTATGAAGCAGACACAAGTGCTGAATCACAGTTAGGTACAATTGATTGTACAGTTGAGCCTGTTGTCTTGTTGGACAGTGGAGAACCCCTTGTTCCTTTAGCTGAGGGTGGCGAGACCGCAAAAACTGGAACCCAGTCCACTTTTCTTTATCCGCCTGATGTGTCGGCAGAAAATGACCCAGATTCTGCATCAGTATCAAGGTCAGTGACAAGTGAATGTGATGTCGGTTTTCGAGTGAGATTTACGTAGCATTTGCTGGCCTTAGAGAAAAGTACTCTCTTTTCACTAGCTCAATCCATTCCTGGCTATTACGGGCCCAATGAAGTGCAAGAGAGTCAATAATTACTCTTAGGTTATTTTTAGACATGGTATGTCCAGTCCTCCCGGTAATGTAACACGCGCGTTGCGTGGATGTTTTCCTGGGCAGTAAACACAAGCAAAACGCGAAATTAGTACTTTGGAAATGAGGCATATATAGCGAGTTAATCCTGTTATCTTTCATCTCTTTTACTTACATTCAACCTGAAAAATTCCACACTGATGACATACCGTTCAGGGTCTTTGATTGGACGAATTTTCGCGTGTAAGTGACAGCCAATAAGATCTCTGGGTTTTGTAATCATTCTTATAGCATCTTGTCTGTGCAATAATTGCTTCAAACTGTGTTTGTTTCCACCAACAGTGCTAGCTGGTCTTATGTTGAAGATGCTGAAGAATTCACTGAAAAGAAGGACGATTTATTAAACAACAGATCAACGTCAGCCATGACATCAGATGCCTCTGCGGCTGCAGCTGCGCTGGCCGCTTGTTCTGATGCGCAGAGAGGAATGGACAACATGGCCAGGTAAATTTTATTTATTTATCTTCATACAGTGCTTGTAATACTATTTGAGAGAATTCGTAATCTTTCTCTGGCGATTTTTCCGCCCTTTTCCCGAGCTGCCGGCTACACATCACTTACATGTTTCTCCGCGCTCGCCACTTGTGACATGTTTACCCGTGCATGCCATCATTTACATCAGGGCGCTTATATACCTTTTCCCGCCCTGGTTACATGTTTTCCCGCGCTTGTCATCGGGTACATGTTTCTTCGCGCTTGCCTCTGGTTACATGTTTTCTCGCGCTTTCCATCGGTTACATGTTCTCCCGCGCTTTCCATCGGTTACATCTTTTCCCGCGATTTCTGTCGGTGACATGTTTTTCCGCGCTTGACACTGGTTGCATGTTTTGTCGCGCTTGTCTTCGGTTACATGTTTTTCCGCGCTTGACACTGGTTATACATGTTTTGTCGCGCTTGTCATCGGTTACATGTTTTCCCGCGCTTTCCATAAGCATCGGTTACAAGTTTTCTGTTCCTATTGAATAAGAGGTTTGTGATTTTTATAGGGGATTTGTCGCTATTGAGAGAACTACAGGAGATCAACCTGCCCAGGCAAGTTATTTTCTTTTCATGATGACGTAAATTGTTGTGAATAAACATTTCAACTATTAATTAATCATCTGCTAAAGTGTTATTTTAATTTTTTTCAGCGAGACTACTCCAGCAGACATGACGGAATGAGCACAGGTAAATATCCCGCCAGCCAAGAATGAATGTCTGTACTGTCACAGGACGGCTGCAGAAAACTGTTAATATATTGATGGAAAAATACCATTGTAAATGTTGATAAATCAATGTTCCCTTATTGCTGGAACAAATTCCCGATGAGGATTAACCCAAGCCAAACTTATGAAGACGTGCCTCGCGTTTTCAATTCTGTCCGTGCAGATTGTGGCCCGTTTTCATTTCGGCATAGTTCGTCATCTTGAAATCTTGACGGACGGCTATCATTTTTCGTTTACTCTTCTTTAAAATCAGATCCTTATTGTCGGGCTTCCAAATCTCAAAGAACTTTTTCCAACTTTTCAAAATAGCGAAAACTACAAGACAAAGGCAAAGAGGTTTTCCAGCCAATTCTAGCTTACTGATTTAATTCTTTTTTTGAAGAAATTGAAATTTTTAAGTGATATTGACACACTGAGGAGAATTTTTAGCGTATCCGTTTAGTTGAGCTTCAAAACTTTACTTTGGGCAGGTGAACTAAAACAGGCTATAGTCTCCATGATGCTGAGGAAAGATGAGATCGAAGAAAAGAACAGGTACGTTTGTTTATCAGGATACCGTGTCTTGTGTATTGCCTCAAAAATGATATTGTGGATAACTTCTCTTGCAACCCGGCTGTATTGCTGTCAGTTCTGGTACATTGTAATAAAATGGTTTTATAAGAGGGTTGGAACTGCTTTTCAATCCACACAGAAACGTCAAAGAAACTTACAAAAAGTAGCTAAAAAGTCCTTTCGATCGAATAACCTCGAATATCAGCTTTTTCTGATAGAGCGAAACTCTGTAACAATGAAAATGTAGGTCCAAAATTATGCAAATGTGAGACACGTAAGAGAAACCAGTAAGTTCACAAAAGTAAGTGAAAATATCGAGAATAGTTATCGAGTCGGTCATAAATCACAGAAAGATGCAAGGCGATTACATAAAAGATTTCACGGAGTAGCTAAACTCGACAAAGCTCGAAAACTTAAGCGGAAAAATTAGTTTTCCACTGAAATGTCCGCAGACAATCTTGGACTCTTGGAAAAACAATTTTTAACTGTTAAAATTTTACATTTTTAGAAATCTTCAGAGTGAGTTAGATCTAGAACGCCACAAAGCACAGCAACTTAGTACAGAGACTGAGGAACTTCGAGAGGAACTGAAACAACAAGAGAACTTCAACACAGCCAAGATAGGGTCCTTGTCAAGGTAAGCTTTTACTCATTGAAATCGAGTTGATGTTTGACGTGTTAAGGTTTAAAATGCATTACTGTACGGTGGTATTAGTTCAAAAGGGATTGTTAGGCTGTGTCGGCAGGTAAGCGAAACATCAGGCGCCATCCACACTACACCGGAGGAATTTGAAAATGGAGGTTTCACTGTTAAACGCTTCAAATGTTTTCCGTCCACGTTACACCGGAAAATTTGAAAACGGAGGTTTCACTGACAACGCATCAAATGCTTTCCGTCCACACTACGCCGGAGAAATTTCGCAACGCAACAATCAGCGGTCATTTTGGATTTGGGTGGAAAACTCGGGCAGGGAAATCACGTGATTGTCGTGACGTCATCGTTTTCGAAAAGCTAATGTTTTCAATCCACACGAAAACGCAAAGCTGGCGTTTTCAAATTCCTCCGGTTTGAAGAGCGTTTTCGAAGAGCTCTGTTTTCGTGCCGGATTAGTGTGGACGGTAGGTCTATCCGTAGAAATAAAGCTGCGTTTTCAAATTTCTCTAGCGTATTGTGGACTCTGCCTTTGCTATTTATCAACTTAACGTTTGTTAACCGCAAAAATGGCGTGTTTGTGAAGCTGACGCTTCGAGTGTTCACATGTTCTTTAAAGCCCGAAAAAATAACTAATAGGACTGAGAAAAATGTTCATGACATACCCTTGTTACCACAATTTCCTCCGCCTAGTCCCACGTAAGAAGTATACAGATAATTTCTATGTCTACAACTGGACTCATTTACTGATTTGCAGAGAGAACGAACTGCTGAAACATCAGTTGAAGAAATACGTGGGCGCCGTGCAAGCGCTAAGAAGTGATTTACACGGCAAGTCATCTGAAACAACGGAAGGTAAGGAAGTCTCGAGAGATTCTAATTTTTTTACACTAAAAAAAAAACTGTGTGTAGTACTGTGAAATTCTACTTTTGGCCAGGTGACATGGCAGTTAGAAGCTTTTCAAATGGAGTTCGAAATTAAATGAGTGTAATTTTTCTGTCAACTGTCCGCTGAGACTTGTCACGCGCTTGTGTCGCGTGTGGTCACGCGTGTAACAATCTCCCACTTGCGCGGTTGGCGATAGTTTTTCTTGCTCTTGACGGTTAACCTTGTCATCTATTGAACTGGAGGGTTGCTTCGAAATTTTACAAACAAGCGGCTTTAACGTATTACCTTTTATTTTTCTGTCCGTTGTAAACTTCTTGTAACTGTTAAAATCGTTGGCGTTGTCCATCTCATTCCAGTTTTGTCCGGAATCAGACGGGATGATGTTCTCCCACCTCTACCACCAGAAAGAAACACAGAACAAGCTCGGCATAGGTTTGTTTCTAACCTGGTACTCAACACAGTCTTGTAAAAACGAACGTTGTCTTTCAAAGTAACCTTTTCTTCATTTTTGCTTCGCAGCGAAGAAGCCGAAGAGTATAAAAGAAAGTTAATTCAGGTAAGAACACGAACCTATGGACACAGACCTATGGAACTGATAATTAACTCTTTTCAGTTGAGCATCCAGAGTAATGGAAATGGTGTTCTCCTGTTCTGTATTAAACTACAAGCACGAAGGTATGAGTTAGTGTTGTAATATTAAACACAGTTCTTCTTTTCAGGTGGCTGATTTACACGGAGAACTCTTAGAATTCAATGAACGACTTCATAAACAAGTCAATTATTACCAGTATCAAGTAAGAAGACTACGAGAGGAACTTGTCAACCTCAGGGGACCGGTAAGGAGTGTACAAACTTAACTAGGTCCCAGTTCATTGCAAAGAAATCACTTTTCTTTCTAAACTCTTACCTCAAGTTTCAGCCGCTTTTTACGAAGAACGACCAGAGTAGCGGTGAAAATGAAGCCTATTCCAGAATACTCAACACATGGGCAGAAATTTAAAACTAGTCGTGCAACCCAATTACATGGACCTCCGTAACGAAACAGAACCGTCCACTTATAAAGCCGTAACGGGACAAAAATGCTTATTAAGTAAATTTGGACATAATTCCATTCCGGCTGTGTAATTTAATTATTTTTTTTTTTTTGCTAGCTTCCTGAAGATTTAGAAAGTCCCGACGATGCGACCAGCCTATCGGACTTTGACCCTACGGTGATGTCAGTCGGCACAAGACCCCTAGTAAATGTATGGATACCGTCTGTGTTTTTACGTGGCCGTTCGTCAAATGTACATCACGTTTATCAGGTGAGGAGGACGGCGACACCCATGAAAATCAAACTTTGAAGTTTGAAACTTAAAATTACAACATAGTAGCAATATGATATAGAAGTCATTTCTATTTACTCAATGGTACCTCCGAAATCAGTAAAAACGTTTTCCTGAGCTTTGCCTCGAGAATCGATTAGACTCTTGAGAAACAAGTTTACTGCTTCTTTCACGAGCAGTCGTTCGGTGTAAAATGTTTGCCATTTTGCTTAGACCTTAGTTTTCTCAATTTACTTCTTTTTATCTGACAGGTGTACGTGAGAATTAAGGATGACGAGTGGAACGTATATCGCAGATATTCACAGTTCTTTGAGATGCACAAAACCGTAAGAAGAATTCTTTGCATTTTTTATTGATAACGGTGTCGTTACGCGGGGGAGAGAGCCAAACGAGCCGTTAAGTCTCTAGACAATAAAACTGTTTTGAATGAACAACAATGTAATCTCTCTTTAAGCGTAAAACTGTGTGCTGATATTTGTCTACGGACCTCATTTATCTGCTCTCAGAGGCCAACAGTTTTTCCGAAAGCGAAGTTGAATTAAGGTAAAACGTGAAAGTTTAAGGGAAATATGAGAGTTGCATGCGATAGTCTTTTGATCGCAGGACTAAGCGGCCATCTTCTGTAGATCATTACAACAAAATTCAGTGCAAGTTTTTCAGTTTCAAGTTAATTGTTCTTTGTGGTACTAAATTATTCTTTTCTCCATTTTTTTTGTAGTTACGACGAAAATTCGCTGTAGCAGATAGCTTTAAGTTCCCACCCAAGAAAACACTTGGCAATAAGGTAGGTACAGTCTGTTTTATTTTATTTTCTCTCGCAAATTCGAGCCGAGTACGAACCGAGCACGAACCGAGCACGAACCGAGCACTACCGAATACAGCACATGCGAGGACAATGACAACTAATACACATTAGTATCAGCCAACTAGTGGACTAATGCAAATCCTGCATTTTGATTGGCTACGCTACTAGGGGACTATTAGTAATAGTCCTCGAGTAGCGAAATTG